AGGAAGGATGAGTGGGGAGGGGAGGAGGGGGTATGGGAGATGGAAGATGGGAAGGGAGAGAAATGATTAAGGGAGGTGGGGGGGGAGTATGGGAGGGGGAGGTGGGTTATGAAGAAGACTGCGGAGTGAGTGGAGGTGTGGGGGGGGGGAGAGGGTATAGAAAATGGGAAGGGAGAGATTAAGGGAAGGGGGAGAGGATAGGGGAGGGATAAGTGGAGGGGTAGGTGGGGAGAGGAGGATGGGAGAAGAGAGGGGGGTAATAGGGGGGAGGAGGGAGGGGAGAGTATGGGGTGGTGGGGGGAGGAGAGGAGGGAGGGGAAAGTTTGGGGTAGTGGGGGGGGGGGGAGAGGAGGAAGCAGAAAAGGGATGGGAAGGGATGAATGATAAGGTAGAAAAGGAGATAATTTAGAGAATGGGAAGGGGCAGGGAGAGGAAGGGAGAGGGGAGATAAAAAGGAAAGGTAAGAGAAGAAGGGAAAGAGAAGATAGAGAAGGGAAATGGGGCAATAGGTAGAAAGAAGGGTATGGGAGAGGAGGGAGAGAAAGGGTGGGGAAGGGGAAAGAGAGATGAAGAGGTTGGGGGAAGTAGAAAGGGAGAATGGGGGAGTTAGAAGGAGGGGTGGATGGGGAAAAAGAGAGGGGATGTGGGGGAAAGAAATGGGGAATGAGAGAGGAGAGGAGAATGGGGAAAGAGGTGGGATGAAGAGGAGGTAAAAGGGGGGGCGAGGGGGGGAGACGGAAGGGGATGGGAGAGGAGGAATGGGTACAGGAAAAGAGGGGGGGGGTGAGGGAAGAGGGGGGGGGGGGAGAGAGACGATCATAGGAGCGAAGGGGAATAGGAAAGACGAGAAAGTGAATGGGGGAGAAAGGGAATGAGGGAGAAAGGGAATGGGGGAGAAAAGGAATGAGGGAGAAAGTGATTGCGGAGAAAGGGCATGAGGAGGGCAGAATGAGGGTGAAAGGGAATGGGGGAGAAAGGGAGTGAGAGAGAAAGGAAATGAGGGAGAAAGGGAATGGGGAGAAAGGGAATGAGGAAGAAAGTTAACGGGGGAGAAAAGGAATGGGGGAGAGAGGGACTGGGGATCGCCGAAGGGGGAGGCAAACTGAGGGAGGAAAGGGGAGGTAGGGGGAAGAAATAAGGGCGAGGGAGATAAAGATCCTTATGCACTGATGTCATAAGAGTGTTAATCCTGCCAAATCGGGCAATGATGTCGAGGTGGAGGATCTTTTATCCTTCGTTGCCATAATGCGCTCGCGGGCGTCGCTCACGTCTCGGCGGTGCGCAAGTGTGTGCGTTATATGTGTGTGTGTGTGTGTGTGTGTGTGTGTGTGTGTGTGTGTGTGTGTGTGTGTGTGTGTTGGTGTGTGTGTGTTGGTGTGTGTGTGTGTGTGTGTGTGTGTGTGTGTGTGTGTGTGTGTGTGTGTGTGTGTGTGTGTGACTGTGTGCGTTCTCGTGTGTGTGAGAGAGAGAGAGAGAGAGAGAGAGAGAGAGAGAGAGAGAGAGAGAGAGAGAGAGAGAGAGAGAGAGAGAGAGAGAGAGAGAGAGATAGACAGTCAGAGACGAAGAAAGACAGACAGACAGACAGATAGAGTAACGTAGGCAGCCAAGAGAACCGCGCTGTCATATCGTTGACAAACTCGCTGTTCTTCGTACCCTGCTTGGGCGCCCACCCACTTGACACGTGCCATCGCTGTATACTTTGCACGCGCCACCTGACACTCTGGATTAAATACTCGTGACTTGAATCGTGTGTTTATTTTTTCTCTCTCTTTTTTTTTACGCTCATATAACATCAACTTACACACACGCACATGCTCACACATAAGTACGTATATGTACGAGCTCACTATACTTCAGTGTAAACATACTGACTGTACGGGACCTTATACTCTAAGGGTTGACACACAGACCAAGTTTTGCTTATGTAATACATGTTCTATGTGACTTCGTTAATTAGTAATGTAAGGGCTCAGTTATCACATCTATGTTTTGCAGTGCGAACATCCTACGTAGAAAATACATGACGCAGTTTGTCTATATTTAGATCGACTTAATTATCCTTTTTTCGCGTGTATTTAACCCTAAAAGAATGAAATTGGTACATTTTTTTTATATCAGTTTACAAAAAAACGGAATCCGTGTGACTGCAGCGAAAAAAAGGAAAAAAAAATAGTGAGTGGTTTTCAGCAAATTGTCTCATAACCTAATTATAGCGGCAATTTCCGAGAATTTGTTTGATTAAAGCATTACTGTTTTCAAACGAACCATTTTCCTTCCCAAATTAGTCTCTCATTTGCATCTGCTTAACGATCTCAGTCTTGCCATCTATAAAGCGATCGTCAGTTGGGGGGAAAAAAGATGCATAATTTACGTTAATTAAATCTGCGCCGACCATTACTGCTGTTTCCTCTCCAATTTCTGGTTTGGACACTCCACTGCCTTTCCCGGGACTGCTGTGTGAGTAATATGCTGTCGGGATTCATTTGTCTTAACCCCTGCTATGCTCACTCTCCCAGTCTTACCCCTCCCCCCTCCCCCACAGGCCTCCAGCTAAGTTTACCCTTCCTTCCTCCCTGCCTCTCCCTACCCTTTCGACACCCTGCATACCCTGCCTCTCTCTGGGCCCTGCCTACGAGACCCCCTCCTATACACCGGTTATTTCCATTTCTCTCATTTAAAATTTTCGTCTAACTTTTTCGTTTTAGGTTTGTTTTGTATTTCGTGCGTTTTTTTTTTTTCGTTTTTGTCGATCGCTATGTCTTTCCCCCTTTTTTGATATTCTTTCTCTCGTTACATTACATTTTGTTCGCTTTTTCAATTCTCATTCTCTTACTGATATACGCTAATGCAATTCCCCATAATCGTAATTTAGCCTTCCTTTCATGAGCCTGTGATATAACGCCAATTAGAACACGCAAACATTTTTCAATTTTCAGAATCCCGTATAATCATTGATAGTAATCCCCTTTTATTAGTCTAGAAATGCCATTAATCCACAGGGTTATTAATCCCCAAACTCTCCTATTAATAAAGACCAACCTCATATCAGTTCTCGTGAGTCGATGCAACGATCCCGACCTGCCAGCGAAAGGCCTATCGCTTTAGCCTAAACCCTCTTAACCTGTCGTGTCTCGGCCTGCCTCCCGCGCGCTCTCCCCTCGTCCCTGTCGCGCTAAACGTGGCTTTTCCATTAGTCTTCGACCTGCATTTTTCCTAACGAGCTTGTTGTCTCTCTTCCGTTTCCCCTCTCACGGTTATCTGGCAAGCTCTTCTGCCTTTTCTCTGTTTCTTCTTCTTCTCTTTCACTCCTCCATTTCTCCTTCCAAGTGTGGACTGATTGACTCTTGTTATCTTTTAATTTTCTTCATCTTGTGTCTGTGGATCTGTTTGTCTTTAATTCTTTTTACTCTGTTTCACTTTTTCCCGGAATGTGGGTCTACTTTTTTACCCTTTCCTGCATTTTCCGCTCCCCGTCCACCAATTACCTAGCTTGAGTTCCTTTATTCCCTTCTTCATTTCTCCTTCCGCGTGTGTGATCTGCTTCTTCTCTCTGCTTCCTTCTCCTTTTCATTGCTGCTCCCCTTGTTTCCCGTCACGTAATTATCGGGCCTGCGCCCCCCCCCTGCCCTCCTTCTGCTTCTTCTAGCTCTCCCTCCTTTTATCCTCCTCTCCTTCCCTTTATTACCTTTCCCTTTCCCCTCTTCCGTCTCCCCGGACCCTTCGCAGCTCACGCATTGTCTGCGGGGCGCCAGGTAAGAAAACCTGAACGTCTCTGCGATGCAAACGTTAACGTCTGCGAGGAACATATGTTACTCCTAAATTCCTGAAGAAACTTGCATCTGACTCCGTACTTGGTGCTGTTATTTTAGGATTTATTGGTGTACTCTCGGACTCTTGTCTGTCTTTTTCCCAAACGTATTATAACTGTCCCTATACTGTAACTGCCACATATGCGAAAATTAAATATGACATTCTTCCCTCCTACACGCCGATCTCAAAACTGGTCCGGCGGTCTTGCGGTCTTTGACTTCAGAGTCCATCTCGCTGAAATCGCTGAAGGTCATCAACCCTCCCCCCTCCTCCCCCTGGGCCTCAGTACCCGCGCTTGCCGGCTCAACCTTGCTTTACCCCACGTCTCGTCCTCTCTTGCCGGGGGATTTCCCTTAAGAAGTGCCTCCCCCCCCTGGAGATGAATCCTCACTCGCGGGGGAAGAAGGGGAGGTTGAGAGGGTCTGAGGGGGGTGGGGGGGAGGAAGGTCAGACCTCTGACCACGCATGTTCCCTGGGCTACTAATAATAACCTTCCCGGAGGAACAAAGAGATGAAATTATATTGGAGACTCTTAGTTCCTCAACCTCTGCTGCTTTCCCATAACAATTCGAACTTAACGGTTCTTCGTCTGCGTTCAGAGGAAGGTTTTAAGAGGAATGTGTTTGATTTTCTAGCTCTGTAGGTCTCTTTGGCATCACTATTCGGTTTCCTCCTCCCTCGCTCCCTCCGTCGATGTGGTTCTCTGGATCGCGGGCGGATGGCGCTGAGCGAATTTTGAATTGCTATTTATTCGGTTTGACGGCGTACAGTGTCTTGTTGTGCTTTGTTTATTGTGAAGTCGGTGATGTGGCGTTCTTATTACTTTTTAAGGTGTGGTTTAATATTGATGGGAACTGCGTGGGAGTGTTCTTTTGATCAAAACACGAACAAAATATTCTTTCCGCACTAGTTGGCATCATCGTCCAAGACCGATGCGGAAAAATTCGAGACTATATCGGCTTAAAATTTCTCCATATTTGACATGATTCTTGCTCTTATAAACATACACAAAACAATTGATTGAGCATGCACAAACATACAACACATCTACAGCAAACACAAAAGATTCTTTAGAACAGCCGGCACCGAAGCGAAAAAAATATACACGGCGGTTGTCCATTCCGTACGACAGTTTGGGCCGGTCGCTGAGGAACCAACCCGCTGCAATTCCGTACGTGGACAGTGCTGCCAGAGTCGCGAGGTTGTACGTATGGAACAAAGAGCGAGCGAGTGATCGTGGGATTTTACATACAGATTCAGTGTATTTTGTGTTACCTTTTGAGGAATGTGATCTATCCAAAGACCAAGGTTGGTAAAGAAGTTATTTGTGGTCTTCTTTTGGTGTAATGTGCATGTGAGTGTTTCTTATTACTACGGAATTTGGAAATGATGGAAAATGTAGAAGGAAAGTGAGTGAATAACGTTTTATACTCTTCCAATGTGTATGAGTCACGATACACGTAAAAACAACGACTGTACGAGCCGTAAACATTGCAAAGTGACGTTGACAAAACCTCAACCAAGTCGGCGAATGGTTCAAGGTAAAAGGAGTTTATGAATTTTTTTTCGACCTTTTCGTGCGATGGATTACCCCCCCTCAAAAAAAAAGAGAAAATGAAATGCAAAAACGAAGATTCTCGAGAAGGATTTCGTTCGTTACATTTTTTCTCCCCAAGAATCATATTGTTTGTACTTCAGGATAGAATTAAGCCTTTTAAATATTTCTCAACGACCCACCACCGGGCTTCGCAGAGGAACTGTCATTTAGGAATGAACCTTTCGATATTATTAAAACTTCTTCTTAAGTTTCGGGGCAGGAAGTTGTTATCAGGAATTATCAGTGATTCAGGAACGCTTTGAATAGGACGCTGTCAGGCTGGCAATTCCACGTCACGCAAGTTCACGTCCCTGAATAACAGTTTTCAAAGGACGCTCCTCCTCCGCCTTCGTGTGTGTGTGTGTGTGTGTGTGTGTGTGTGTGTGTGTGTGTGTGTGTGTGTGTGTGTGTGTGTGTGTGTGTGTGTGTGTGTGTGTGTGTGAGTGTGTGAGAGAGAGAGAGAGAGAGAGAGAGAGAGAGAGAGAGAATGTATATATATGTGTGTGTGTGTGTGTGTGTGTGTGTGTGTGTGTGTGTGTGTGTGTGTGTGTGTGTGTGTGTGTGTGTGTGTGTGTGTGTGTGTGTGTGAGAGTGAGAGAGAGTGTGCGTGCGTGCGTGCGCGTGAGAGAGAGAGAGAGAGAGAGAGAGAGAGAGAGAGAGAGAGAGAGAGAGAGAGAGAGAGAGAGAGAGAGAGAGAGAGAGAGAGAGAGAGAATGTATATATATATATGTGTGTGTGTGTGTGTGTGTGTGTGTGTGTGTGTGTGTGTGTGTGTGTGTGTGTGTGTGTGTGTGTGTGTGAGAGAGAGAGAGAGAGAGAGAGAGCGGAAAAGCGAGAAAATGCGCGAAAATGCGTGAGCGAGAGGTAATTAGAAACAGTCAATCAGTCAGCCTAGTCACAGACAGTCACTCATTCAGTCAATCAGTCACACATTAAGTTAGTCAGTCAGTCAGTCAGTCAGATCCAATCAGTCAGTCACACATTAAGTCAGTCAGTCAGTCAGTCAGTTAGTCAATCGGTTAGGCAGATACCAAGAAACATTTCTGCATGCGTTCATACATACATACATACATGATGTAGACACAGACACACACACACACACACACACACACACACACACACACACACACACACACACACACACACACACACACAGAGAGAGAGAGAGAGAGAGAGAGAGAGAGAGAGAGAGAGAGAGAGAGAGAGAGAACGAGAGAGAGAGAGAACGAGAGAACGAGAGAAAGAGAGAAAGAGAGAAAGAGAGAAAGAGAGAGAGAGAGAAAGAAAGAGAGGAAGAGAAAGAAAGAGAAAGAGGATGCAGGGGAGGCATCCCCCTTGTGGCCTTCCCTCAGGCGACTTCCTTGGCCCGAAGGAAAGGAATTCACTTTTCAGTCGAGATTAAAAAGCTATTTTTTTCTCTCTTATTTTCTCTCCTTTTTTTTTGTCCGTTACGGGCCGGCGATTATTTTCTTAATCTGGCGGTGATCAAGAAATATCCCGATGGAAGTAATTTTATTGCTTAATTTCTTAAAAGCTTTTTTCTTGGACATTGTTTTGATTTTTCGTTTTGTTGGTTCTCGTTTGTGTTTTTTTTTTTTTTTTTTGTTCTGTTCTCATTTGGTTCTCCTTTTCCTACTTCTTCATTATCCTGTTCTTTGTTCTCCGTTTCCTCTCCGTCGTTCTTTTCTTCTTTGCTTCGTCATCGTCATGTTTCTTTCTCATTTTTTTTCTTTTTCTTCATCTCTTTCTTCTTCTTCTCCACATCCTCTTTCCCTCTCTCTCCTCCTCCTCCTCCTCCTCCTCCTCCTCCTCCTCCTCCTCCTCCTCCTCCTCCTCCTCCTCCTCCTCCTTCTCCTCCTCCTCCCCCTCTTCCTCCTTATTTTTCTTAACTTAATAACTACTCATTCACTCTACACCCCATCGCGTCCCCTCCCCCCCTCCCCCTCCCCCCAATGGTAAATTGAACGGTCCCTTCCGTACAAAATGTTCTTTTTCAGAACACTTTATTCACAAACGTGGTTTTCTTTTGAGGCTCATCTTTGTGTGTAATTACGAGTCTCATCTATGTGCGTTCGTGTGTGTGTATGTTTTTT